GGGTACGTCTAGTCCGCGGACGTCTTACAGCCGCGGCGATATTAATTTCGAAACAATACTATACGATGGTTTCAGCTGAATCAGCAAAAAAAAATGTCACGATTTTCTTATAGGATCGTTATTCGTGGAAAATCGGATAGAAAAGTTTTAATCGTGAAATAAATTATGTATTATCGGTCGCTCGTTCGTCGATCACGAAATACGGCGTATCCATAATACGGAAAAAAACGGTATAGATGTGTTGCGTTGGGAGCTGCAGCGATCTGCTGACGTACACCGTTCGAGGTTGCATCAGCATCTCGCCATCGTAGTGTAGGGTTAGAGATACGAATCATACTACTCTGTGTACATAGGTTTTTTTTTACTTTATTTATATTTATCAATTACAATCCGCGTATCCATAATACGGAAAAAACGGTATAGAGGTGCTGCGTTGGGAGCTGCAGCGATCTGCTGACGTACACCGTTCGAGGTTGCATCAGCATCTCGCCATCGTAGTGTAGGGTTAGAGATACGAATCATACTACTCTGTGTACATAGGTTTTTTTTTACTTTATTTATATTTATCAATTACAATCAACTGGTGCCAGTAGATCACACCAGTCTTCAACAACATCGAACTCGTCGATATTACCACCGATAAGCTGTACGCTGATATTTTTTCCGCCCCGGTCATCCCGCAGCAGTGTTTCGCAGCTCTCGTCGCGAAAAATGATTCCACTAATTTTCTTAGACTGTACATCGCTGCCTGCTCGCGCGTGCCCCAACCGCGTGTTTTCTTTTTCACCGGATCATCTTAACGCTGATGTAGATGTACCCAGCTGTACCACGTGAATCACTCGCTATAGGATATCAGCATCTCGTCATCTTTGATACATCCTGCGGTATCAGCAATATACTCTATCATGGCCATAGGCTCTTTATTCGCTGCATCCTATGAAAACGGGGTGTGGCTATGGTGGTGGGGGGCTATGTTCGACGATATTGCGATGACCTGTTTTTTAGATATCGCCTTAGACAGTACTGCTCAGACCAT